AGGGGAAATGGACTATTTCGATTTAAGTTATTTATATTAGGGGTACAATGGATATAAAAGGAATTATAATATTTTAATTATGAGTTCTCTGTCACTGTTCTTTATAAAAATGTTAAGAATTATTTCATCATGCTCAAAAATTAAACTTGAGGAGATATTCATCCTGGGTAAGATTTCCCATGTTATCTTCCTACATTTATATTTTGAGCTGCCTCTGTAGATAGAAAATATCAGATAATTAAATAGACCAGTGACAAAAGATTTTTTTTGGTCTTTTTGAGACAGGGTCTTGCTATGCAGTTCAGGCTGGCCTTGAGCCTACATGGTAGGCCAGGCTGGTCTCCTGCCTCCGTCTCCCCAGGGCTGGGATTACAGAAGTGCACCACCACACCTGGCTTCAACAAAGGATTTAAAGTCATGTTTTGCCTTAAAGATCAGAATGTTTCCTATATAAGATAGCAACATTTTTCCTCCACTGCTCTTCAGGAAGACAATTTGACTTGTAATTCTTTCTGAATGATCAGTGAAGAGTCTGAATTCTGGTTAGAAATCTTTGCTTGAATTTTCAGGCCTGACCATACAAATATATTGGTTTTATATGCCAGGTTGGGGGAGGAGAGGTGATGGTGGTAGGGAGAAGCTGCCCTCCCAGCATTGCACTGTAGTCTCTCATGTCTCTACTGAAGGTGACAAAGATTCTTTGCTTGGCCAAATTTTAATCAGGCTGCTGAACCTCTTTCTAGGCCCATCTATGCAGTTACTTGCACTTCTAGCCAAGGATTTAGGCATCCCCAGCTTATCCGTTGGGGAATATTTGTATTCTTGTTTCTGGTACCCTCATTGCTAGGTCTCTATCTGAGGCCGTGTTCTAGTTTTTCCACAGGGAATTTTGCCAAGAGTTCCTTATGGGAGAACAAAGGAGAAATGTTGAAGATTCTTTTCGTACTCTGACTCAGTGCTCAGTACTTTTCCACTCCTAGGCCTTTCTCCTTGCTTTACCCAATCCCAGCAATATAAAACTGCCAGAGCCTTTTATACAGGATTCTCTCATTAGTAAGATGATCCTCACATTTGTGCTGATCCATTTGACCCTAAGCCAGTACCTTATTCATGGGAGAAAAATGGAACAGCAAAAGTAGGTACTTTATAGACACTTGCTTATACTATTGTATAGTAACTAAAGGCTTAATCATTTCATTTTTGATTATTCATTTATTGCTATACCTGGAATCTCAGCTGTCTTTCCAGGTTCTTGCAAGTTAATGTTTTTAAAATTAAAAAATATATCTTTATTGAGCAAGGACCAGATGTACTGGAGAGTGTCAGGAGGATATAACATATCAACTTGAGGAAAAAAAATCCTTTTATTCTTACTTGGGACATAGCTCATTTTTTTTTCATAGCTCACTATTGAATAACTCCCTATTCTGTATATCTTTCATATCAATCTCCATGTTTCTGTATCTTGATTTGTGCCTAGGAAGCTGATCTATAGTGATTGACTCATTGAGCTCCTTCACACTTCTGCTTCCAACTGGCTGTTGCCAATGGCAGGCACAGCAGGAGATCTAGATTTGGGAGGAGAGCAAGGGCAGGGCATTTTTCCCCCTGGTTCCTGCTGTGCCTCTACTGAAGGTGACAAAGATTCTTTGCTTAGCCAAATTTTAATCAGGCTGCCAAAACTCTTTCTAAGGCCATCTGTGCAGTTCCTTGTATAATTCAGTGTTAGCAAAAAACCAAACCAAACCAAAAACAAAAAACCCACTAAGTCAGTAAGGCAAGAACCCCAGTCTCAATATCTCATCACACTCATTATTTAATTAAAATAACCTCTCAGGTTGTGTCTAGCCACCCTGACCTATCCTTGGCAAGAATTCTGTTAGGGTAATGTTAAAATCTCCCTTACCTCTGATGTTTCTTCCTAGTAATTTTCTACCTGCTAACTCCAGCCCTACTCATTGGCTGAAATTTTCTACTTGTCAATTTGGTGTTCAGAGCTGAGCTCAAACTCTTTTCACCACTACAAAATCCCACTAGCATAGCTCCTGTAACTACTGCAATGGCTCTGAAGCAGGCTTCTTCCACGCTTTCACAAGAATAGTAAGTTTTTCTTTAATAAAGGCCACAGATCTTCCAGGTTGCTCTCTTGAGATATATCTTTCCTTTTTAGTCTTAGGGGTTTTCTTTTTATTTTTTTTTGGTGTTGAGAATTGAACTCAGGACCTTGTACTTGCTAGTCAGGCACTTGTGCTGTTAAGCTATCTCCCCAGAAGTTCTAGTAGTTTTCTGACTATTGTGCTGTCTTTTGTGCACTTTTCCAAAATTTTGCCTTCACCTCTGTAAATAACCCCCCCCCTTTTTTTTCTGAGACATGGTCTCACCATGCAGTTCAGGCTATCCTTGTGCTCACTTTTGTGTAGCCCCCAAGCTAGTCTCGAATCTACAGAGATCCTCCTGTCTCAATCTCCTGAGTACTGGGATTACAGGTGTGTGCCACCATGCCTAGTTCTGGGGCCATAACGTGGGTACCTGGGGATCTGGAGCTGAGACTGCATAGCATGCAGGACCAGGGATCAAACTCAGGTCCTTGTGCTTGTCAGGTAGGTGCTTATGCCTCTGAGCTATCTCCCTGGCCCCAATATTTCCTCTTTAGATCTCTGAAAGTTATTGTTCGAGTGTCTCATCTGTTTCTTGCTGGTAACTTCACTGACTTATATAGCTCCTTAGATTAGTATTCAATTTAAAAAAGGGACATAAGAACTAAGATAATTTTAAGATTTATGGGCTGTAGCTGGGGATATAGTTCAATGGCACAGGTCGGAAGGAGAAGAAGAAGAAGAAGAAGAAGAAGAAGAAGAAGAAGAAGAAGAAGAAGAAGAAGAAGAAGAAGAGGAAGAAGAGGAAGAGGAAGAAGAAGAAGAAAATTTTGTAGATTTAAAAATTATTTGAATGTATATGACAATAAACAACACATAGTTAATGATGGACTACATATATATGGGTGGTACTGTAAGATTATAATGGATTTAGGTTTTAATTAATTAACTAATTTTATTTATTTGGTACAGAGTCTCCCTACACAAGCTTAGACTCATAGTGATCCTCCAGTCTCAGTCTCCCCCATCTCAGCTTCCCCAGCATTGGGATTATAGGTGTGCGCACCAGCTTGGCATGTGGCTGGCACAGCATATGGTACCAGGGATCGAACCTGAGTGCTTGTGCTTGCCAGGCAGGCATTTAGACCACTGAGCAATCTCATCAGTCCCTATAATGCATTTTTATTTTATTTTATTTTATTTTATTTTAGGGAAGGGTCTACAGGGTGTTCAGGGTCTCACTGCTAGATCACACTCCTAGTGATCTGTTTGTTTACAGCCTCTCAAGAGCTGAGATTACAGGCATGTGCCACCACGCCCAGTCTCAATTGCCATCTCAGCAGGCCCCAGAGGTGGGGCTGGTACAGCAGGCCCGGGGATTGAACCCCTGGCCTCTGCACTTGCTTGCAGGCGCTTTAATTCACTGAGCTATTTGGCTGGCCCTTTATAATGGATTTAAAAGATTGTTATTGACTGAAGAAGTTGTAGGCATTATAATATCATAGTGCAGAACTGGGAAGATAGCTCAGTGGCATAAGTACCTGCCTGGCAAGCACAAGGTCCTGAGTTCAATTCCTGGTACCAAAAAACCCCCCCAAAACATAGTGCAATGCATTATTCATATGTTTGTGGTATTACTGTTCTGTCAGTCAAATCAGTCATCTAAAGTATAGCACATAAAATTATATATGGCACACAATATCTGATAATAATATCCAACTATGTTACTAGCGTATTTATTATAGGCATTTTTTAATCTTTTATTTTTTTGGAAACAGGATCTCACTATGTAGCCAGACTGACTTCAAACTTGCACTAATCCTTTTGCCTCAGCCTCCCAAGTGCTGTTATTACAAGCATGTGCCACTACAACCAACTAGTTCATTACATTTTTATAATGACGTACCTCAATTAGCATAAAGCAATGTAAATTATTTTTATAGTATCAATGGTGATGTTATATTTCCACTTTTAATGAGGGAAACTAAGGCATTAATATTAAAATAAGTAGAGCATAATAAGATGTTATACTAATAATTTATCACCAGATTTATGAAATTTGTTTCTTTGGGAATCTTAAAGAACAGGATTTATGTCCATTTAATAGGATATATTAGCAGGGGCTGGGGAGATGTCTCAGCAGAATAAGCACTTCCCTGGCAAGTGCAAGGGCCTGAGTTCAATCCCCGGTTCCACAAAAACAAAAACAAAAACAAAAACAAAAAACAATAGGATATATTAGCAGCATGGCTTCCTCAAAGAAAGAGATACATAGAACCTCTGAAAGTTCTTATCCCAGTGATTTTGAACTTTGAATTTTATATAAGGAAGAGAATAGATAGTTGTCTGTTTATGAGGGAGCTTTGGCAAAATGTTGCTATTGACCAAGCAGTGCTTTCTAAGATGAAATTCTTTTGACCTGAAAAGAATTCAAATTTCATCAGTGAACTGTAGAGAGATTTTCATCATATTGTTTGCCTGGTTAGGGTTTTCTGAGCCAAGAAAACCAATACCTGGTGCAGGGGACATGTCTTAGAAGTTAAAATATGATTCAATAGTTAGAGACCTATGAAGAGATTTACAGATTTATTTATTGTTTATAAGTCAAAGGAGGTAAAGGGAGTCAGTTGTTTACATTCCAAAGAAGTGTAAGTGCCTAGATTTCTCTCCTCTCTGCAGTGGAGAGAATAACCTATTTTAACCAGAGTTTATTATTTTGGGACTTCTGCAATATCAGTCCCCATATACATGCAAGATGATATCTAACTTTCATAGGGAGACCTGGGGCTATTAGATATGGCTATTGCTATGACTGTGATTTTTGCTGCAGAAACCTTATAATTTGTTTCAGGATAAAATAAATAAATCTAAATGCACTTACCACAAATGGTAGGATGCACTTACCACAAATGGGAGGATGCACTCATGTTGATTCTGTACCATGTATAAACTGAACAGAGACATACGACTGGGGCCCATCAAGCTGCAGGCTAGAGAGAAAAAGTTCTGCAGAGCCTCACAAAGGTTAGAGCAAATATCAGCCCAGGATGGTAGAGCAATGTGCACAATGAGAAGTCGCGGAGGTTGCTGGTTAATCTTGGTGACAGAAGAGGGTCCTTTGCTAGTAGTTCGCCCGTGATACATGGCAGCCAAACCAGAGCTGGAAACAGAGCCACACCAGGATATTCTCTATATCTACAAGAAAAGGAAAAACCACTAGCTTTCATAATATTCAATTATGTGCTCTGATGAAAAAAAGAATACAAGTCCAAGAATCCTGGACTTGGCTTAGAAGAGAATTATCCAAAGTTATTAGATGTTTGACTATTAACCTGAGACAACTTACAGATGCTAATAAAGAAGTCACTCAAATGTCAGACTTCAGTTTCAAAGTAAGGTATTTGTCTCCTGAACTTCATTTTTTTATTAGCCCTTATTATGCTACATTATAATTTGTTTCTATAACTGCATCTCCCACTGTACTATAAGATTTCCAAAGGTGGAGAAGCCATCTCATTGATGTTACTCATCTGGGTTTAGCATAGTGTTGAGCTCCAGTAATTCTTATCAATAAAACTATGAAATTTCTCCCTTGGTTAAAATTACTGGGTTGTTCCAATCTCCCATAAGATAAAATTTAAACTCTCTTTGAACCATTCCCATGACTCAGACAAGGAAATAAAAAACGAACGCAAAGAGGCATTATCAGAAGGGCATAAACGACAAATGCTTAAACATGAGAGGGTTCTAAGACACAAGGAACACTTTAATGCCAATGCATTTGGTAAAAATGGACAAAATCCTAGAAAAATATATTTAGCCAATGCTAAATGAAAAAGAAATTTTAGAAAACTAAGTAGTCTGTGACTATTAAAGAAATTTAATTAGTTTAACAGCCATCAGTCTCTTCCAGCTTACGGATTTTTTGCTCGTCTGTTTGTTTTGAGATAGGGTTCTGTTATGTAGGTCAGGCTACCCTAAACTCACTAGATAGCCTACCAGGACTTTGAACTTGTAGCTCACCCAGGCTCACCTCAAACTTTCAGCAAACCTCCTGTTTCAGCCTCCCATGTGCTGGAATTATAGGCATGTGCCACCACTCTTGGCTCAAAAATTAAGCTGGTAATTACATATCTTTCTACAAAGGAAACTAGAAGTCAGGTAATTTTACTGATAAGCTCCCAAAGACCAAGAATTTCAATCTTAAGCAATTTCAGAGAACAGGAGGGAACATTTCTCAGTTAATATTTATGAAGCTAGCATAACCTTTGATTCTGAAATCAGATAAAGATATTACCAGAAAAAAAATATGCTGAGTATGGTGACACACGCCTGTAATGTCAGTACTCGGTAATTTGATGAGGCCCTGTCTCAACAAAAACAAAAACAGAAAGGGCTGGGGTCAGGGGTTCAATTTCCAAAGCTGGAGAAGTGTGTGTGTGTGTGTGTGTGTGTGTGTGTGTGTGTGTGTGTGTGTTTAACAGCTCCATCCATGAAATCAATTAATCACATTATGACCAAGTTGGATTTTTATCTCAAGAACATAAGACTGATACATTAGGGCCAGTCAAATAGCTCAGTGGGTTAAAGTGCCTACTTAGGCAGATGCAGCCTCCTCCCCCTCCTCTCTTTTCCTGTAGGTCCTGGAGATGGACTCCAGGGCCCTAAGCATGTTAAGCATGCCCCAACTCCACGCCCACCAGCCCAGAGAACTGTTTTTGTTTTGTTTTGTTTTTTCCAGCACTGGAGAGAGAATCCAGGGCTTCCTCACTGAGCTGCACCCAGGGTTTGATCCCTGGTGTGGGGTGCGCTGAGATGACGACTGGGACTGGGGGTGGTGGCGTGCACCTATAATCCCAGCTCTTGGGAGGCTGAACACAGGTGGATCATTATGAGTTCAATCTCTGTAGTAAGACACTGTAGACCCTGTCCTAAAATACAAAAAAAAAAAAAAATGTTACATTAGAATATCAGTCACTATAGGGCTGGCGAGATGGCTCAGTGGTCTAAAGCACCTACTTGGAACAAACTTGGGAAAGCATAGGGACCGCGGTTCGATCCCCCAGCACCACATGCCAGCCAGCCCTGCCCCCTGGTGGGCTGAGCTGGCCACACACACACACACACACACACACACACAATAAATAAATAAATGTTTAAAATTAATTAAAAAAAATAAATAAATTAAAAAAAAAGAATATCAGTCACTATAATTTACCATGTTAAATGATTAAATGAACAAAATGATATGATCACCTCAGGAAAAAAGAGTTCACACAAGATACATTCTTGGCTTGGTGTGGCAATCTCAGCACTTGGAGGCTGAGGCAGGAAGTGTGCTGTGAATTTGAGACCAGCCTGGGCAACACAGTGAGTTCAAGATCAGCCTGGACCTGGACTACATAGCAAGATTATCTCAAAGAAGAAAGACAAAAGAAAAGATTCTTACTAACAAAGAATAAATGACAGGAGAAATCTGATAAAAATATATGTATAAAAACCTAGAGTTGGTGCATGCTTGTAATCCCAGCACTCTGGAGGCTGAGGCAGGAGTATCACCATTTATTGAGTCTAGCATAGAGTACATAATGAGTTTGAGGCCAGCCTGGACTACTTTGAGACTTCAAAAAACCAAACCAAGCTGGGTGAGGTGGTACACACCTATAATCTCAGCACATGGGAGGTTGATGCAGGAAGATCTCTGCAAATTCAAGGTCACTCTGGGCTACAGAGTGAGTTCAAAGCCAGCCTGAAGAGCTTGAGAGATAGCTCAGCTGACTCAGCTTACGCAAGCTTAGGCAGACTTAAGCAAGCGCAGGGACCATGGTTTGATCCCTGGCACCACATGCTGCACCAGCCCCACTTCTAGGGTGGATGCTGAGCCTGCCCCAGAGTCCAGGCACAGTGGAACATGCCTGTAATATTAGCCTCGGCAAGGCTGAAAACAGGAGGATCACTATGAGTCTGAACTGCATAGTGAGACCCTGTAACAACCAAATACACTAAAACAAACAAACACCAAAGTCAGCCTGAACTACAGAGACTCTATCTCAAAATACCAAAACAAAAAAACCCCCAACAAAACCTTACCCAAACCATACCAACACCTACCACAAACACCTTTTTTTTTTCTTTCTTTTTCCATGTGCAGGTTGAACCTATAGCTTCACACATACTTAGTAAGGCACAGATATTATTTCTACTTAACTAGTTAGACAGGGCTGGGCTATTGAGGGAATCAATGTAAAAGATGAAAAGACCTAAAAACTGTTGCTGGAGGCCCATCTGAAGATTAAAATCACAATGGCCAGATTTACACAGGGATAAAAAAAACCTTGAGATTATTGGTACTACCCTTTTGAGATTTCTCCTATAAATAAATCATTATCTCATTAGGGGTGGGTACTTCTCTTCTACCCAGTAAAACTAAAACTATGGCTACTAAGACTAAAGACTAAGACTACTGATTATCAACCAAAGTTAATGTCATCTATATGCCTTTGGTATTAGTCAATCAATATACTTGTGTCTCCGTTGCCTTACTCTCATTGCTGAGACAAAATAGCCAATACCCAGAATTAAAGAAGGAAAGGTTTATTTAGCTCACAGTTTGTGGAGGGTTCAGTCCATACTTCGCTGGCTCCAAGGCAGAGTGGCACATGGTAGAGGACAGCAGTTCATGGGGACAGAAAACAGCAAGAGCAAAGGGGGAAAGAAGCAAGCCTCTTTTCCTCCCTTATACTGTAAGCAGGGTAGCTTGGGGTGGGGGTATAGAACTCACACAAGGTCCATGTCACCCTCTTGCACAGGATGAGGATGTTTACAAAGTAAGAACCCTGGCTCCCTGCTGAGTCACTTAATTAAACTTTTAAATTTCTCAAGTTGGCACAATGTATCAATCAGTACAACTTGTAATAGAATTGGTTGGTTATAGGTTTTTTTTTTTTTTTTTTTTTTTATTTTTTCTTGGTTCTTTTTTTTTTTTTTTTTTTTTTTTTTTTTTTTTTTTTTCCTCATACTAGGAATAGAACTCAGGACCTGTAGTTTTTCAGGCAGGTGCTTAAACCATTGAGCTACATCCTGTTGGCAACCCATTCAGGTCTCTTCTTCTCTCTGAGGAACTATTCCTAGTCCCCAATCCTGTTCTCCAATAAAATTTATATTCTCCCCCAGTATCTCTACTTTTACCCTCTGTTGTTCTTTAAAATTTATGCTTCAACTTTAGGGAATACGAAGTTGGCATATCTGAGATCTAGTAGGTTCAGTGTTACATATTTTTCCCTGTATCACTACCACTTGTCACTAAATTAAAATCTCAGCCACAACTATTTATTTATTTATTTATTTATTTGTCTTTTGGAGATAGAGTCTCTCTACCCAGTTCATACAGGCCTTCAACTCACTTTGTAGCCCTGGTTGGCCTTGAACTCATAGCAATTCTACCTCAGCCTCTGGAGTGCTGGGATTATAGGCATGTGCCATCATGCCAGACTCACAAACTCATTCTTAATGGTAATATGTTGATAGCTTTTTCTGTAAGACAGAGTCTGCTACCACTACTTATATTCAGTGTTGTACTAAAGGTTAATCGTAAGTCAAGGCAGTGCAATGGAAGAAAGAACAGTCATTTAAAAAAATGATATGATTGTGCCTATACAAAAATTAAAATAGTTTATAATTTTACAGTTTTCCCCAAGAAATCTATTTATCTTTTGTTAAATTTTAGTCTTAGGCAACTGTTTATTTATTTATTTATTTATTTGAGACAGGGTTCTCCTTTGTAGCTCAAGCTGGCCTTGAATTTACTACGTAGTCCAGCCTGGCCTGAAACTCTGGGAGATTCTCCTGCCTCAGCTTCCTAGAGAGTGCTGGGATTACAGTCACTACTATGCTGGTGTGTCTGTTATTTTTAAATATTAATTTATAAAATATCTTTTAAAATTTCAGTTTTTTTGCTAATATATAGAATTATAATTTTTTTGTGTGTGTTAACTTGGATTTGGAAACACTTCTGTACTCTCACTAAATATAGTCTAACCCTTTTTTTGGTGGAACCAGGGATGAACTCAGGCCCTTATGCTTGCCAGGCAAGCATTTGTTGCCATCTGACCTGGCCTCTAAATATAGTAATTTATCTGTAGATCTTTTCAAATTTTTTGTTTTCAATCATGTAATCTGTAAAAAATGATAAGTAC